GCACTTTTCTCCCTGCCCACCCCTCCCCACCAGTTCGCTCCCCTCTCCGAAAAGAAAATGAAAAAAAAATTCCTTCATTAGTATACAATTCCCCCATCCCTTCCCCACCCCCCCCCACAGGCTAACTTTTAATAGATGAAAAGATGCATAAACAATTTTGAAATTGATTTTGTTCTTTTATCCGATTTTTAAATTATTAATTTTATAAGGATTGGATTTTCTGATTGCTCTTGTATAATTTATATTTTATAAACTTATAAAATACATGTTTTTTTCACCAGTCTATTTTTTTTATAGTAATATGACTTTCCATCCTCTCTCCCTCCTTTTAGGCTCAAGGAAACAACTCTGGAAATGTTTCTGTCTAGAATTTTGTCATCTTGGACCAGTTCAGCCATATCTGTTCTTGAGTCAAGTTCTCTAAGCCTAAAGAACAGTCTGAATGGGAATTCAAGGATAGTTGAGGGACTTTTGGAATATGTATATACTCACTGGGAACATCCATTGGATGCTCTGAGGCACCAGACCAAAATGATATTCAACAATCTGCTCCAGATGCACCAACTTGCTATGGAAGGGGCAGATTTGGACGATGATCCTTTCCTGTTGGGGCTAACTCAGAGTCTTCTGCAATTGGAATGGCATGTTAAAGGAAAGTACATATGCCTGGGTTGTTTGGTAGAGTGTATGGGAATTGAACGTATTTTGGCAGTAGATAAAACAATTCCATCTCAGATTTTAGAAGTGATGGGAGACCAATCTTTGGTTCCTTATGCAAGTGACCTCTTGGAAACCATGTTTAAAAATCATAAGACTCATTTGAAATCTCAGGCCATTGATGATACTTGGATTAACCAGCTGCATGAGACTTGGATTTCTCCTCTACTTTTTATACTGTGTGAAGGAAACCCAGGCCAAAAATCTTACGTGATTGATTATTACTTGCCAAAATTATTGAATTGCAGCCCTGGAAGCTTAAACTACATGGTAAAGATTCTTCAAACTTCAGCTGATATAAAAAATGGTAAGAAAAGAATTGTTTTGTTTTAGTAATTTCTATTTAAATATGGGTGCCAGGCTAGATGTTTACCTTTTTTTTTTGAGTCACCACTGGGATGATGTTTACCATTGTTATTGTTATATGCCGTTGAGTTGCCTGTGACTCATAGTGACCCTATGTACAACAGCCCTGAAACCTGCCTTATTTTGTTCCAACTTTATTGTCTCTGACACACCTACCTTCATTATCCTAGTCACTGTATCAGCCTATCTCATCAATGGTCTCCGTCTCTTTCTCCATTCCTCCACCCTTCCAAGCATGATGTTCCTCTCCTAGGACTGGTCCCTCTTTGCAACATGCCTCTAAGGAGCAGGCTGACTTTTCCCTCTCTAGGAAGAACCTGTTTGTTCTCCTGGCAGTCCATGGTATATTTAAAACTCTTCTCCAGCACCACAACTCAAAGGCATCAATTCTCTTTCTATCATCCCTAGTCATTGTCCAGCTCTCTGACGCATTGCAAGCAATTGTGAAGACTATGGCCTGGATCAGGTGCACCTTAGTCTCCAGACTGACATCGTTGCTCTTCAGTACTCTGGAGAGGTCCCTGACAGCCGACTTTCCCGTTGTAATTTGTCTTTTGATTTCCTGGCTTCTGGTGTCAAGAGTGTTGATTGTGAAGCCCACCAAACTAAAGCTGTTAACAATCTCAATCTCTTCACCATACTTACTGATGCTGTTGCTACTTTTATAACTTAGGCAAAGGATATTAATAATAGTTAAAATTGAGATAATTATTTGCCTACATAATAACAGAGGTAGTCTTTTTGGCTGACTTCATGGACTTCCAGAGAAATAAGCCATGGATTGATTCCAATTTGAGTATAAGATTTTCTTTCTTAGCTTTCCCCACAAAATCCACTGCCATTGAATCAATCTGGACTCATAGCAAACCTGTAGGATAAAGGAGAACTTCCCCAGGGAGTTTCCATTGCATATTCAGATGACTGAAAGAGTAATTAAAAACCATATTGAGCAAGGCTGAAGACAGGTAGATTGGCACTACAAGTTTTTCCTCTCTAGGGAAAAGCATATTATAGATTTATGACTCAAGAAATAGCTGTGTAATACTTTATTGTAAGAGCGCTTTGGTGTGCTGCCAACCATAGGGTACACAGTTCAGATCTACCATCTGCTCTGTAGGAGAAAGATGTGCAGTCAACTCCTGAGTGGTTTATTACTGCTGACAGCCTGCTGGAGGGGCATTTATGAGTTGGTTCCGAGTCAGTGGCATATATCATCAGCAATTTGTTATAGGAACAAACGGTATATTTGAAACTTTGTAATCTTGAAGGAATCACTGCATTAATGCACGTTTCAATAATAGGTAAAATTTTTATCCCTGGAAATCTTAAAATTATATATAACAAAATTGTAGTTTGTATCCCATTTGAGGATATATTTATAGCCAAGATAGTTACTGTTTTTAGAATTTCAAACAATAATAAGAGATACGTGGCAAACTTGATTCCTACATAAAGACCAGTAGATTGTAATTTTCAACAGCAGTTCCTGACTTTTTGAGGTTTTCTAAAATTCAGAATTTCTAAATCCCTTTTGAAGTTAAAAACAAACCAGAATCCTCAAACCTGTTGAAGGGAAGTTGATTCCAACTCTACAGCCCTCTAGGACATGGAAGAGCTACCTGTGGAGCTGCCGGTGGTCATTATGGAAGCTGACTTCTACAGCCTTCTCCCATGGAGCAACTGGTGCATATGAACTATTTACCTTTTGGTTGGTAGATGACTTTTAATCACTGTCCCACCTGGACTCCTATCATGAAATACCTGAACGTAGTCTGGGTTCTTTTAGAAGCAGCTACTGTTCTAGTCTCTCAGCATCAAGTTTGGTGTGTTGAGATTCTTTCTCCACAAGACATTGAAAATCAGTGAATTATTTTATCTGCTTTACTAATGAAAAAACAGCAGCTTCAGTTGCTTATGTCGTTATCATTTTCAGGTGCCACTGAGTTGACTATGACTTGTAGAGGACCAGTGAACAACAGATTTGACCCTTGCCCTGTCCTGTGCCATCCTCCTGATCTCTGATAGGCTTGAGGCAGGAATACAAAAGTTGGAAACAAAAAATTAGGACTGGTAGTTGGAAAATAATGGACTCAGTGACAAAAAATGAGGTGGGAGATCTAATGATTGAATTTTGTACAAGCAAAGATTTATTCATTACTAATATCTGTTTTAACAAACACAAATTGCACATATACACCTGAACCTCACATGATGGACTGCACAGCTCAGTTTGAAAACATCTGTGAAAACCAATGATGGAGGAGATGCTCAACGTCAGCAGTGGAAACAAGGCTTTCACTGGGCTGACTGGGGGATAGACCATCAGGTACACAAGTGCAGATTCTAAAACAAGTTTAAGAAAATGAAAAACGTCCTCCACAACCAAAACAGGACCCTTAGTCTGTCCCACCTGAATTTAAAATCCAACTCAAGAATAGGTTTGATGCACGAACACTAACGATTGAAGACCAAATGAGTTGTGGATTGACATAAAACATATCATCCATGAAGAAATCAAAAGGGCGTTACAAAGATAGGAGAAAGAAAACACCAAAATGGGTATTAGAAGAGACTAAAAATTTGACTAGAATGAGAGAGGTCAAAGGGGAGAAATACTAAAATAAGAGATGAACAATAGATTAAAAGAAAAAAAAGATGAATAATAGATTTCGAAGGGCTACTTAATAGAAGACAAAGCAAAGTATTATAATGAAATCAAAGTATGTGGAATTAAACATGTATTTTTTGAGAAGTGCTGGTCTTCTGTCACAGGTGATTTTCTTCCACTAGTTTTGGCTAAAAACCATGTTAATCTTTTGTTTTAAATGGTGCTTTAGCTGATGTTGTTCCTGATTGATTTCTAAGTGTCGGGGGGAAAATTATCATTAACAAATAAATTCTAAGATCTTTAAGTTAACAATAAAAGGATTCCATTTATTTGAAATTATTGACATAACTATAAAATAATTTAAAATGGATTATTTTATAATTGATACTCTAATTCACTTTAGAAATGAGTTTAAAAGATTTCATTTCTTGAATTGTGTTAATTAGAACCAGGGAGATATGGCTACTGAAAGTTATCTCTCACGATTGCAGTGGTCTTTGTTATTGTGCTTTGTGGACAAGAACAGTCTTTTCCGTCTAGGGTCTTGTCACAGCAGAGGAGCGCTGGGAGCTTTGATGGCTTGTCTTCGAACAGCCCGAGCCCATGGGCATCTCCAGTCTGCAGCTGATACCTGGGGAAGCCTTGTGTCCAGTGCAAGGATAAAGCAAGGTCTAATTCATCAGCATTACCAGGTGAGGAAACGTAGTAACTGGGAGTGTGCAGATTCAGTAGTACTTGGAGTCAGTGGTGCAGTATAGAAGCCCTTGCTTTGTGGACCCCTTGAAGACAATGATTAGAAAGTGAGGAATGACTCAACACTCACTGAGTATAGGTTAAAAAGGGGATAAGATAACCCGCCTGAAACAGCTGATATAAATGTGCCCTGGCATATCCAGAAAGACTTGAGAGACTGACTAGATGTGATTAGAGGAGAGGAATTGTTGGAGCAGCAAGCCAATGCAAAGGACCCAAATTAACAAGGTCTAGAGGATATGTTGGCAAGAGTGAAAAAGTGATGGTTTCTGGAAGGCTGGAGTGCTGAACAGAATACTAGACGCCATTCTGTTTGTAGCTGGAAACCAGAGCTGCTGTATCTTTCGGAAGGACTAGAGTGGGACCACCTAGAAACTGGGAGGCAAGTAGGTTAAAAGTGCATCCCAGAGGTACTTTTGCGACAGTAATCCTAGAGGGAGCTCTGGTGGCCAAGTGGTAAGGAATTGTGCTGACAACCCAAAGGCATCCGCCGGTGGCTGCTTGAGAGAAGGATAAGCAGTCTCCTTCCACGCAATTAAGTGCTGCTGGAAGCCGCTGAAAGGGTCATCTGTGGGTTGCTTCCTCCTCGATGGTACATAACAGCAACAATAATCCTAGAGCGAGGTGCTGAGGTCCTAGAGTGATAACTCAGATAAAAAGATGAAAGCAATGAATCATGGCCATACAATACAAATCTTTAAGATTATTGACTTTTATTTTCACACTGGAGGAGATGATATTTCTCCTGTGAAACAGCTGGTGCATTTGAGTACCTGCTTTTGAATTGGCAACACAGCTCTACCAACTAGGGCACCAGAGTTCTCTTTTCTCAAAGAGTCTTTGGATTTAAGGGAATTGAGCTTTAATTTCCCCTGTTGGCAGCCTTTCTTGGTGCTATTTCTAGTGCTGTAGGTTCCAGTAGAAAATGAGTGTTTTGTTGCTTGCTGTGTTTTAGGTGCGGATAGACACGTTAGGCTTGCTTTGTGAAAGTAATCGGAGCACCGAACTTGTTTCCGCAGAAGAAATGCAGCTGATTCAGTTTTTTATTACATACAATCTAAACAACCAGTCTCCAGGGGTGCGGCAACAGATCTGTTCTCTGCTGAAAAAGGTAGGATTTCCATCGTTGAGGAGAGGAAAATTTATTGAGTTATTACAAAAAAGTACATTCTGGAAATATTTTTTAAAAGAGCCAAGTTTTTGGAGAGTGGAAATGGCCGTGGAATTGGACCAGTACTACTTCTCGTTATAAGGCTTTTCTGGGATTTATTGTTCCATAATTCATAGGGATTACATTTGGGATTAAGATTCAGTTTGGAAGCCCTTCCATGTAAGTGAAGTAAATGATCCTCATGTTTTTTTTTTTGAAGGGGAATACAACCTCCCTCAACTGTTGAGGTGAGTTGTTTGATAATGAGGAAGTTCGTTTTACATTTCTGTAGTTTCAATATTATACAAAACAGTCAATAATGAATAATCTGAGTTAAATTAATTATAGGTGAAGAATTGATAGAGTATAGAGATATCATCAAGTTCATGATAGTTTACAGGAAATAGAAAAGCCATGGTATAATGTCTTTGTTCTGGTTTGCAGCAACACTTGGGTTTGAAAATATAATTGTTAAAATTGTTGCAAGACCAAAACACTAAAACATGAAAGGTTTAAAGATCAGTGGGCTCCTTGCTTAAAGTTTTAAGCTTTGCCTTTCAGGCTACCGCTTGTTTTAAGTGGCTCACATGTGCTTGGTTTTTCTTTTTTATCAAAAAGTTGTTTTGTAGGATACAGGAAAGTTCTCAGGTACTTTATAAATTGGAGCAAAGCATGTCCAAACGTGAACCCGAGAATGAGTTATCCAGTCAGCCTCCAACTGTCTCCTTGCAGCAGTACAAGGTAGGTGATGTAGCATAGATTTTAATAAAACTAAAACATTATATATAATCATTAAAGGAAGTGAAAGGGAAGTCTGTTCATCATTGTTGTGCATTATTGAGTGAGAAGTGACTTGTAGCTGACCCTCCAGGGGGTTTTAAGGAGATGTAAATCGCATGGGAGGAGATTGCTAAAACCTTGTGCTGGTGTTTCAAACTGCCTGCCTCTGGGTTGACAGTGCAGCTCTCTACCACTAGGCCACCAAAGCCGCTTGGTCAACAGTGGTCTTTTATCCTTCACTCTGAGTGCTCCTTCTAGTGCTTTTCTATTCCTCTTCATGGTTGTGGAACTAGTGATGGCCTTGAGGTTTGTTAGAGAATGCCTTTATAAGCTAATCTCCATTTATATTTTGTAGAATAGATGAATTTGTTAAAATAAAATAGTGATTGGCTGGCCATGAAATCCCTTTACCTTACTCTTATGTAGAAGACTACTGAGCCCGGCCTGAGTCCCCAAAAGATTTACAACATCAGAAACTATGGCTCAGTTCTGCTCTCTCACATAGGGTTGCTCAGACTTGGAACTGACTTGATAGCACTGAGTTTGGTTTGGAGTTCATGAAGTTAGTTCAATCTTTTAAAAGTTAGGGCAAATTTACATAACTTTAAAGGGCAAGTATGAGTTTTTAATAAATCAGTCCTATGTGATTTCTCAGTTTTGCTTTTGAACATATATATACTTTTTGAAAATTGGGCTTTTGAGTTTTGATTTGAGTCAGATTTGGGATGTCTGTGGTTTTTGTTATTTTTCCCAGCTAGTACTTATAAGTGATTTTTAGAAATTGTGACCCTGTAACTGTATTACCATTGTCATAATTATAACAGTGGGTGCATGCAAAGTGTGTGGTAAGTTCATTGCCTTTTAAAGTATCAGGTGCTCTAGAAGAACGAAGGTGGATGATCGGAAATTATGTGTTCTAGTGAAGGAGTTTATTTTATTCTTAACCTGTTGCTGTTCGATTAGTTCTGACTCATACTGATCCTAAAGGACAGTAAAACTATCCTTTGGGATAAATCACATGTTCTTGCCCAGAAATCTCACTATAAAGATCCTGTCTAAAGCCTGTTGGGATTAGTGCTGTCTATGTTACATGATTTTTCCCTCTAAAATTACATTTCATTGAAGTGTTTGTGTTTTAATAATTTGTATAAACAGAATGGTAGAGCAAGTAGCAGACAGATTTCCTTGTTGAATCCTTGTAGGAATTATGGCATTAAAACCAAATTTGTCAAGCAATACATTTTGGATACTTTGTCAGTCATCTTAACACTTATAAAAAGTATGTGTAACTTTGCTGCGTGGATAAAGGTTAATTTAAACTTGTGAGGAAAATCAGTATTCATAGAATTTTGATCCGTTTAGAGTTGGAAAATCTTATTATTTACCAAAACCATGTCTCTTCTTGCCTGTACTATAATAGAAATTATCCTTCTTGTTTACCCTACAAAGATAGAGTTCAGAAAAGTCATGGTATAGCTCACTGTCTTGGAGACCAAGCTGGATTTTCAAGTGAAGCTAGAATCTAGTGTTGTTTAAAAAATAACCTTTGCTGTCTTATTTGAGAAGAAAACAACCCCAGGCTCTGTATTAAAGGTGATACTGTGTAGATAATTGACTGGGAGTTAAGAGTTCTGTAATAACAAGTTTGTTTATTTATTTTTTTTTTTTTTTAGAATTTTATGTCATCAATTTGCAATAGTCTTTTTGAAGCATTATTTCCTGGGTCATCTTATCCTACTCGATTTTCAGCTTTAACCATTTTATGCTCAATAGCTGATGTTTTTCCGGCTCCACAGGGTAAGTTTTCAGTAATGTTTCATCAATATTATTAAGATCCTTAATTTTTCAGTAGCTTTTTTCCCCTTTGAGTTTACTTGTCTTTTGTTTAGATTATTTTTTTTTCTAATGAATAGAATTTTATTACAAGAATCAGATGTATTTTGAAATCAGATGCGTAGGACTTGACCGGCCTCATTTCTGTAGCTGGAAAACTAGCTATCACTCATCAGCCTGCTGGACAGTTCCTTTTTTAGAGACATAGATACCATCCAAAATTTTTTGGATAGCCTTGTTTTTAACTGTTGTAGCTTGCTGAATCAAAGCAGCTGAATTTGATATAAGCTTAATGTCATTTCCTTCAAGAATTAACTCATCTTTCTGCGCTTGAGATACTGAACAAGCAAGACTTGGTCTCATTTGAACTCTCTGAAACTATTTTTCACTCAAGGAGTTTCGAATTTCAACCAGAGATTAATTCTCTTGAATCACACCGTTGATGGGGAAATGAGCATACACAGACCTCATCTTGTAATGAAAGCCCAGTGTAACACCTTGATCATGTTCTGTACATGGCTACAGATGATGCGAACGGTAGCCATTTCCTTCCTGTTTCCCCACCATTTGTCAACACGAAGCCTCTTCTTTTTCTTTCTGAGGAGAATGAGCTCTACATTGATGTGATTGTAGTCCCTCCACAAGGTTCCCCGCGGGCCTTTCACGATAAACTGTACGGTCCTTCAGAATAATGTTGACATTCTCTGGAATGTCCACAGTATGGTTGCTGAGAATGGTCTTCATTGTCGCAGTTAATGTGGCCTCGTTTAGATTCTTATGGGAAGTTTTAACTTCATTATACAGTCCTGACTTGAGCATAATTAAATTTATCTGTAAGGGGTATAAAGGAGAGAAACTTTTTATAACTGTTATTTGTCAGCTCTATAAACTAGTTTTCATGGACTGAACTTATTATGGAAAGAAATCTCCCTTCATTTCTCTATTTGCTTGTTACTGGTTTAAGAGAAACATTTGTTCTTTAAGTTTTAGAAATTAAAATAATATTCAGCTCTCCTGTGCGTAGTATTTCTGAGAGAATCTTGGTGGTTCATATGTGGTTTTTTTTCTTATATGCTGTATGAAACAGATAAGCCATAAGCCATAGTTTGGTTTCAGAAAGACATTATGAGGCTGTCATTTCTGGGCAGACTAGTATATTGGCACCTTTTGGCCTTCTTTCTATCGGGTACCCGTGGGACTAAACATTTAACTTCCTTTGTACTTAATTTTTTTGTTTTGACTTTTGACAAGAAATGGTTGTGTTTTTCTTTTTTAAAAAAATAAGTATATGTGTGTATATAGGTGTTTGTGCTTTTCTGTGACTTTCTTATTGGTACTCAGTCTTTTTGAGTAAACTCAGGGGCACCTAAGAACAAATAAAAACAGTTGCTAAGAAAAACAAATAAAAAACCCAGAGCATCCCTTTGCTAATGATCATGAATATTTGTTCATGTTCTTGTTGACTGTGTGAATGTCTTTTGTTGAAATATTTATTTATACTATCAGTCTATTTGTGATTATATTTTCTTGTTATTTTTGAAATGTTTGAGCCTTCAATTAATGTTAGAGGTGAGGCCCTTATTATTTGTGTCATTGCCAAATACTTTTCCCCCAATCTATGTATTTTCTTTATACCCTTTTGGAGAAGTCTTTGATATTGGGGTTTTAGAACCCTTGAAAATTGGCTTTTCTAGTCATTGTGTTGGTCTCTAGCTACTTTAGCTTTGAACACATGGTCTTGCAAATCATCAACAGCTGTGGGACCAATATAAGTGAGAGAGCTTTTTATACTGTGAGGTAGGTATGGGTGGAGAGAGATTTGAGACTATGACACTGCTGTGAAAAAACTAAGATGAAGTGTAATCAGAGGAACCCTGCCATTTGTGCTGTAGTTAAAATTTTTTGCTTGCTGGGTGATTGAAGGAGAAACTGACTTATAATTGCTCTAAAATAAAGTTTACTGGATGATTGAGGAAACCAGAGACTTCTTGCATTTGTGTTGCTGAACTGAAACAAGACTGTCATGGATTAATCTGTTTTGGGATTACTGGATCACACTCAGACTTGCATTGTGTGATATTCTTTGCCTCCTCCATTCTCCAACCTCTTTCCCTAATAAAACACAATTATGAGTAAAGTCTACGAGTCAGCAATTAACTTGGACCCAATGACTGGTAGAAAGAGGTGTACTTGCCGGAGGGCGTAGCATGTCTGACCAAGCACCTGTTTGCTGCTGTGGATATTATTGATGGGACAGTTCCCCTTTATGAGGTGGGAAGAAGTCAGACTCAGCCACCCTCACATTGCAGCTGCTCTTTTTGCAGATATCCAGAGGGTTTGATTTTGAGGAGGTCTCAGTCATCTAGCTTATTCTCTGTTTTTGGGTGTACTTGACAGTCTATGTATGCTCTAAATCAGAGTTACTTAGTTTACCCTCGTTTTTTTCTCTGCTAGTCCTTATAGTTTCAGGTTTTACTTCTAGATCCTAGATCTTTGTATATTTCTTTGCATAAAGTATGAGGTATGAGTCTTATTTCAATAGTCTGTTGTGTTGTTAGATGTGTTCAGTAGAGTGTAACTCATAGCAATTTTGTGAACAACAGATCTTAACCCTGTCCTATCTGTGCCATTTTCATCCTCCCTGACATACTCGAGCACATTACTGTAGTCACTGTGCCAATTCATTTAATTAAGGGCCTTTTTATCTTTTGCTGACCCTCTACCTTTCCAAGCATGATATCCTTTTCTAAGAAATAGCTTCTAACAATGTGCCCAAAGGATGAGAGACACAGCTTTACTGTCCTTGCCTCCAAGGAGCACTCTGGTTGCCACTTTTCCAAGACATATATGTGTGTTCTTTTGGCAGTCTTTGGGTTAGTCAGTGCTTTTCTGCAGCATCACAACTCAAAGACATCAATGCTTTTTCTGTCATCCTTATTATAAGTCCAGCTCTCCGATGTGTAGCAAATGATTGAAAAGACCTTGGCCTAAATTAGGCACATCTTAGTCTCTTTAGTTAGACATCATTGTTCCTCAGTGATTTGCATGGGTCCCTTACAACAGACTTTCTTGATTCAATGTCTTCTGACTGTTGGTACAAAGGGTGCTCATTGTGGATCCAAGTAATCATTGACAGTTTCAGTATTTTCTCCATCTGTCATGCTAATGATAATTTACCTAATTTAATCAGCATTATTTTTTAAAGAGTTTCTGAATTTATTCCTTTGGTCTCTGACTGTTGGTGTACATGTCCCAAGTGGTTTGATTACTGTGACTGTGTAGTAGGTTTTGAGATCACAAAGTATAATGTCTCTGTTTTTCTTCTGTCTTTCTTTTCCTCATCATATTG